CACATGGGACACCCTAAGGTTCCAAATGGCACCAGGAATCTTCTGGCGCTGTGTAAAGCTGTGGCAGGAGACTTGGGAGCCACAGTTAGCACATGCCCATCTGGGCAGGGCCCCGGGGCACTGGGGACTGATAAAAGATGAAAGGTATGTGCTTGGTGGTGTGCTCCCATGCACTGGAGATAAACCTGCTGGATCCAAGGCCGGTGACTATCTATCTTTCTCTTCTTTTCCTGTCTTTTTCTTCTCCTACCTTCTTCTCCCCAAAATGCATTGGAACCCAAAAATCAAGTCCAAGCCTTGCCAACTGCTTTAATCTATCTGGATGTTCTAAAGTGTGCAAGTAAAAATTGTTTTTCAATGAACCTCCTGAGAAACTGTTGTTTGTAACCTACTGTGCCCAGAGGATCCCCAAATAGCCCCTGTGTCCTCATTGACAGAGTTTGCTTTGGAGCCTGGGCTTGTGGGAGCACAGGGATCTCGGAGCTGAGCTGGGGGATGGACCCACGGCCCAGCCCAGGTGCCCCATGGAGCTGCTCCGGGCTGGGAGCTGGGCCCGGGGGACAGACGGGATCTGCTTCCGACACACCCCTGCAGACTCCACAAAGAACAGCCCATGGCAGCAGGACTCTGCCCAGCACAAGCTTCGCTCCTGGGATTTTATCCCTCAGCACAGGAGTGTGTTTAGTTACTGTCGAGGGATAACCCAACCTTCCCCCTGTTCCCCAGGAAGCTGCAGCCCCCGCAGGGCTCATCCCGGCCTCCAGCTCTGGGGTGCTGAGCGCAGGAAGGCCGTGGAGCTGCTGGAGCCAGTGGGGAGGAGGTCCCGGAGACACTGCGAGGGCTGGAGCCCCTGTGCTGTGTGGAAAGGCTGAGACAGTTGGGGTTGCTGAGGTGGGAGAAGAGAAGGCCCTGGGGAGGCCTCAGTGTGGCCGAGCAGGAGCTGAAGGGGTCCAGAGGAAAGCTGGGACAGAGTGTTCAGCACTGGGAGGAGAGGAGAAGAGGGGATGGCTTTACACTAAAGGAGGGGGATTCAGGTTTGATTTGATATAGAAAGATATTTTTTTGACCTAATGGTGGTGAGGCCCTGGCAAGGGCTGTGCAGAGAGACTGTGGATGCCCTATTCCTGGGAACATTCAAGGCCTGCTTGGATGGGGCTCTGAGCAACCTGGTCTGCTGGGAGGCTGCTCAGGTTAGAAAAAGATGATTTTTAGGGTGCCTCCAAGCCAAACCAGTCCAGGATTCCATCATTCCATGACCCCATCACCGCCAGTGGAGTGGCCCCACAACTCCTGTGACATCACAGCTGCCAGAGCTGTGCCCGTGTTCCATGTGGAACTGCCAGGGCCCGGCGACGAGCACAACGCAGCCATTCCCCTGCTGCCAGCAAGCCCGGAGCAGTTCTCAGCAAATCCGCTGCCCTGACCAACTTTTGTTCCAAGATCACCCTTCACTCTGCTCCCTGTGGAGTGTTCTCAGGCAATCACTGCTATGTCCGTCAGTCCTGAGTCTGCCTTCAGTCTGGATCTCGTCATCAATGCCAGCAGGATGTGCAACCTCCTCCCAGTGAAGGTACAGTGCCAATCCATGCAGGTGGGAAACCCCTGACCTCCCAGGAAGGATGGAGCTCAGTGGGGCTTGTGTGGGACAGGGACCCCTCTCTGAGGTTGTGCTCCCTTACACAGACTGCTGGAGATACTGAGGAAGACATGGACGTGGATGTTGCGTTGGACACCGAGGAGATGATGGAGGTGGACATCCAAGACTCCGAAGAAGAGATGGAAGTCGATGTGGTGGAGCAGATGGAGGACATGGATGTCGACCAGCAGGATGAGGAGGAGGACATGGTGCTGGGATGAGGACAGTCCCCCAGCAGCACGACAGGCACGTACTGGCCATGCCCTGCCCCGGGGTCACCTGCTGGGTGTGCCAGGCTGGGGGCACAGGGAACACCCAGCAGGGCCCGACTGCACTGACCGTGCCCTTGCTTTTCTTCCAGGACTGACGGACCTGCCGGCCACACAATCGGCCACTGTGTATATATGTTTTACATGTTGTTCTGTAAATACGTTTTATATTGTTGATTTTTTAAGAAGGTTGTTGTTTGTATAGAGAAGATAGCTTAAGAAGATAGATTTTTAATAAGAAGATAGTTTTTTATTAAGAAGATAGTTTATTAAAGAAGATAAGGTTTCTTTTAAGAAGATAGATTTTTATTTAAGAAGATAGTTTTTATGAAGACAATAGTTTATTTAAGAAAATAAGGTTTCTTTTTAAGAAGATAGATTTTTATTTAAGAAGATAGTTTTTTATGAAGACAATAGTTTTTTTAAGAAGATTAGGTTTCTTTTTAAGAAGATAGTTTTTTATTAAGAAGATATTTTTATTTAGAAGATAGTTGTTTTTATTAAGAAGATAATTGTTTTATTAAGAAGAGAGTTGTTTATACGAAGAAGATTGTGGTTGAGATCAAGACT